TACATGTATCTATGTAAAATGTTGTAAATAATCGTGCATATTATCAATGGTTATAGATTAGTCAAAAATAAAAAAAAACCGTAACAACATTAAGTTAGATGACTTCATCAGGAAAACTTTAAAATAAAAACATATTATGTTATTTAAGATTTAAAAAAAAAACTAAAACTGTACAGTTCCAATATAAAAATCGATTACAAACACTTTATATCATATATATTATATATTATTATTGTCCTAGATCCCATAATATTATACCAGCTATTACAATATAGGTACCTTCTAGACTCTAGACTCTAGAGTATAGACACTAGACAGTTGTAGGGCCTCATTTAGGGAGGGGCGCTGGGTACAACTGCGCCGGGTGCCAGTATTTTAGGGGCACCAATATGTTGTGGTCAGAAATTTATTTACTTGTGAATTATTAAAATTTTATAATTTTAATTATTTTAATAACAGTATTATATAATATAATTTACTATAATAGTATTATATAAATTGTATTATGCTGTTTGAAATTGTTTTAATTAATATTAATTTGCATAGTTTAATATAATTATTTATTTATTTATTTATTTATTTATTTATGTATAATAAACGGGTATTAAACCCTTTAGCAATTAGAAAAAATATAAGGACAGTTTAGCTTATCTTATAACATAATTTGGACACAATAATGATGTAAAATTATTTGTACCAATGGAAATAGTTAACAGCCAAAAAAGAATAAATATATAGTACAGTAAAAATCATTAATTAACAATAAATGGTTACACCAAAAAAAAAAAATTTAATAAGAATAAAATAATAAAAATAATATTTAAACAAGAGAATTTAAATTTAAAGCAAGATAAATATTTTGTCTGAATACAAAACGCGACATAGCAAAAAAATCAACATGATCCATTATACTGTTAGCCAAAGACAGAGCTCTGGGGAAAAACGAGGTGGAAGTATAATTATTTTTGGAAAGAGAAACATGAAAAAAGTTAGATTTTCTTAATACGTGAGTTTGTACATTAAGACCAATGTGAAATAATAATTCCGGAGAATAAATAAGACCATTTAATAAGTCATATAAGAACATGATATCCGCAACATTTCTCCTCAAATCACAAGACGCGATCCCCAATTGGGAAATTTGCAATTTATATAATTCTCTCGTGATTGGTATATTTAATTTAAAGCATAATAGTTTTAGAAACTTATACTGAACATTTTCAATTAGACTGGTATAAGAAAAATAATGTGGAGACCAGACAATTGATCCAAATTCAAGATGAGACCTAACCAGGGAAAAATATAAAGTTTTTAAGGCATTGGTATTTTAAAAATTTATCGTGCTCCTATTAATAAAACCAAGCATCTTAAAAGCTTTTTTAATAAAGGTGTTAATATGGATGGAAAAATCCATATTAAAATTAAAGATAATCCCTAAGTCTCTCATGGAAGAAACTCTTGTAACTATAAAACTATCAATCAAATAATTATAGGTGATTATATTATTTATTCTAGAAAATGTTATCACGCTACACTTGTTTATTTTTAATGGAAGGTGATTAACACGACTCCATTCAACAAATTTATCTAAATTTGACTGCAACTTTAATGCATCATTTGGTGATTTAATAACTGAAAATAGTTTAGCATCATCAGCGAATAAAAGAATACTAACTGAGCTATCAAAAATAGATGGTAAATCATTAATAAATAATATAAATAAGAGGGGTCCTAAGTGCGACCCTTGTGGTACACCAGAGCTAACCAAAAAATCATTAGAAACATAACTATTAATTTTTACCACCTGGGTACGAGAACATAGATAAGATTTTAACCAATTGAAAAATGTACCATGAATACCAAAATAATTATATCTTATTTATTCATGAAGTACCTATAACCTACTTAAATATGTTAAAAAAACAACTTAAATGATGAATTATAAGCAAGGTTTAAGTGAAATAATTCAAATGTATCTTTGCGGAGAGAGGATCAAGCAATTAACAACCATTTATTTAAAAAAAAGCACACATTGTTAAACAAATATTCTTTTCTGTGCTCAAAATCTAAAAGGTTAATGAGGATCTATCTCCCATATTTTCCGTGGGTAAGCCCCTTAGGGGGAGCAATTTTTTTCCCCCGGGGCGCAATTTCAAACGCTCATAAAAATTTAATTTGACTGTCCGGTAGAGATTTTTTTATTGATAAAGGTAGATAATCTTATAAGGAATCTTGTGTTTCATTTTCAAATCTTAGATTTAAAAAGAAAAATTTTTACGAATTCTTAACTCAAAATAATTTGCTAATTTTCGTGATTTTTCCATATTTTGTCAATTTTTGAACTTTAAATGCTTAAAAAAAAAATTGTGACTAAGGATTTTTAATATTTTTCATCTGCCTTTGAAACAATATATTAGGAGCCTTCTATTAAATTTTCAAGCTTTTGCAACCAACAAATAAAATTTTATTGGTATTTTTAGAAAAAAAACTAAAAAAAAATGGAAAATGAAAATGTCCCTAAACAGTTCAAAATAAATCAAAATATTTTGAAAATGTTATCGTGTATAGAAAATGCAAATATAAACAACCAGTGAAAATTTCATGTATATACGTTCATTTGTTTTAGAGTTACACCAATAACCAAAATCGATTTTTTGGAAAACCAATTTTGCGTAAAAATTCCCGTTTTTCTATAATTTTTATGTTGTTTTTCCCGGCGCTTGTGAAAACTACTGGTAAATTTATACTTTTGACCCCCCAAAGTACCAACTAGATTCACTTTCCTATCAGAAAAGCTACTGATGAAGAAAATCCAAGCACTTTTACTGTCCCAAAACGTGATGACAGACACAAAAAAAAATAAAAAAAAAATATAAAAATATAAAAATAAAAAAATATAAAAACACACATCATTGTAAAACCAATACATTCATCGCTCCGCTCAGAATCTAAAATCAATGATTATAATATTATATTAATATCATTAATATAATATTACTACAAAGTCATGAATGCTGGTTGAGTACTTGAGTATAAAGTGTGTGTCTTCTGATAATTGATAAATATTAATCGCTGATAGCGGTTTTCGCGTTGGCTTCCAACAATCAAAAATGCCGCATGTCGCTATCAAAATCAGATAAGCCATAATTAAGAAGGTCTGTTAGGTATTATACCTTGAACCCTAATGTGATTATCACTCAACCAAGTATAAAAGAGTATGTTTTGTGAGAAAATATTTAGTTTGTTAAAATGCATTGCCCAGAGCAGTATATCAAAGATAATGGTATTCAACGGAGGAATGCCAGATATATCTCAAATATATATATAGAAAAAATGGTATGGAAATCTAATGAAATAGTTTTAGACTTAGGATGTGGACCAGGTGATGTTACCTCAGATATTCTTTATCCTTTTTTAAAGAATAAAATCAATCAGTTGGTTAGTTTAACTTAGGTCAAAATATTATTTTTACAAGTACCTACTATGTATTTATATTAATTTTTTTTTTTTTTAGGTTGGTGTTGATAAATCAATAGAAATGGTAGAATTTGCAAAAAAAACCTATGGATGCTCCGAGATGGATTTCAAGGTTCTGGATATAGAAAATGCCCATGACTGCTCTTTTCACTCGCACAGATTTAACAAAATATTTTCATTTTTCTGCTTTCACTGGGTTCAAAATAAAGTTGATTCCTTGCTGAATATGCACTTAATGTTGAAAAGTGGTGGAGAAATTCTGGTTAACTTCCTGTTAATTGATCCATTAGCTGAATTGTATGAATGTATGGATACAGAATGGCAAATATATATTAAAGTGAGTATATTAATTATGTTATTTTTTTCTTGTAGGTTTTATTTCTATTAATAAAAATACTTTCCATTTTATAAATTTATATTAGGATAGTTATATTTTATATGGAGATTTAGTATCTAGTAAAAAAAATCAAGTTTCTTGATTCTGACTATTACAATTACTTACTACAATATTAATATAACAATTTAAAACAAACTGTTTTTGTTTTGTTATTACCTACTTATTAAATGTATATGATCTTTTCGTATTTCTGTCTATCCAACCAGAAACCACTCCTTATATTACATCCCCTCTCACCGTACAAACTACAACCACAACCATCCTATGCATAGAATTCTCCGCCTCCTTAACACCACCTTAAACAAAATTCCATGTTAGGTATACTAAAAATAATATTTTTCGTATCTTAGTTTTATTGCCACGCTCATAAGATACGATGCTGTTCACTTTCTAGTAATTTATCTTTATGTTTATAATTAAGTTATTAGTACATTAAATTTAATTATTATTTATGTTATCAATGATTTTTACATTAATAAGATTATTTTTTATTAACTGTATATCGTCGGCCTAATTCGCAAAGGTCGTATGTCCAAAATTACAAATTGTTCAGGAGAAGAAAAAAACGTTTTACGGCCATATTATTAATTGGCGATACGACGATTTCTAATTATCAATTTCATGGAGGATAATATTATGAAATCGGAAATTTGATTGTATCAACAGACGCAGTTTTTTTTCTTTATTTTATGAGTAAATAATCCCAAAATGACAAAAAATGGAGATACGACTTTTGCGAATTAGGCCGACGATATATTACCATCTATGTAAATGCCGAATGACGTCAATTAATTAATAAATAAATAAATATGATGATTAAAATGATACCTTTAAAAATTCAATTTTACAATATCATAATTATTTTATATTTTCATTATTTGTTATAATAAACTTACAACACATTATATATAGGATATAAAGCAGAGATATTCACGATTCACGATTCACCATTCACGAGATGAAATAAAAGACATTTTCACCAAGGCTGGATTTCGAGTTATTAATATAGAATCAAGTGTCAAAAAATATACATTTCCAGACTTCTCATCATTTTTAAGTAATTATAATAATTAAATTTTTTTTTCTGGATAAAAAGCTTCTACAACAATAATTTTTAGTTATTTGCATTTGTTTACGCTTAAGAGGACGACACACCCTCATGTTTTGTCTCCGTCTTACAAGTGCGTAACATAGAACATTTTAAACTAACGGAGCTACGCGTGTTCTGCTGAGCTTACAATTTGCTGTGTTTCAAATTTGTAAGACGGAAGCACCACATGCGGGTGTGGCGTCCTCTTAATACTCAAATCTAAAATCTAAATTGATGCACTAAAAGACACTTGAATATGACTAATGAAACTATCCCCAAATATGCAGTAAAAAAATCTTTAATTCTGAACAACAACTTTTAAATATGAACAAAAAATCATAATTTTTTTAATTTATCAAGTAAGCTTTATCTTGTTCAAATGTTTTTAATTTCAAAATTGTATGAATAAATACAGTTTTTTCCTTATGCATTTCTTTACTTTATATATTATATTATATTTGGCTGATAAATAATATAGAATGTTAATAATCTATTTATATAATAATTATTATTTACCCTTATCAAAAAACTTATAATTTATGTAATATTAAATATGAGTTGTATACTATATAATTTCCAAGTTATATTGTTATTGCTAATTTTACATGTTCAATCTCATTTTTTGTGTCTAATTCACCTGTTCAGTCTAATTTTTTAATAATTAGTCCTTGACACTATTTCAACTTTTAATTTCCATTAGATATGGTACCTACTTCTGTATTTATAACTTAACCTAAACTATGTTTACTCTTTCCTCTAACCTTTTACCCATTAAATTGTAATATGTTATTCTTTTACTAGTAAAATCTCACCTAGGTACTTCATTTCAAATTTTTTAATAAAACTTCCATTTTTTTTCTTTTTTTTTTTTTTATTTAATGTAATATTGGGTAGAATATTTTTTCATATGAGTTTATGACATACATTTCAACCTAATAACTAATATTTTACAGAACTCTCTTTAGGTTCTGCTCACTGAATCTGAAGTTAAAAGTTATTGATATTTAATATATTAATTTTCATTAAAAATTATATAATAGCTTTTATTTTACTCTACCTGATCATTACTTAGTTTATAATGAGCATATTATGGCCAATGTTCAATTCCAGTGGTTTCCTATCTAACTTTTTACTAAAGAGGAAATAACTATACAAGTAACTTAAGAGGACGCCACACCCGCATGTGTTGTCTCCGTCTTACAAATGTACAACATAGCAAAAACTCTTTTGCGAGGGACAACTTTTCTCGCACCATATTTGCTGTAGAACTACCAAATTTTCACAGCACTTAAAGAAGAACTTTATCTGTGCAACAGCGTGCTTATTTTTTCAATAACATATATACAATACAAGTTATTTGCTTCTAAACATTTGGTTTTTTAATTTGCTTATAAAAAATGATTGGAAGGTGCTATTGAAAAAATTTTTGTGAAAATTTGGTAGTTCTACAACAAATAGGGTGCGAGAAAAGTTGTCCCTCGCAAAAGAGTTTTTGCTATGTTGTACATTTGTAAGACGGTGACAACACATGCGGGTGTGGCGTCCTCTTAAATGACAAGCGTTTACAAGTGACGCTCATCTTTCTTAAATTACATTAAATGACATTTACCGTTCTATCCTTCTAAATAGTCTAAACAACTTTGGCTCACGATGCTGAAACATATTTAAGATTTGGCCAGCTGTAAAAAGAAGGTTAGAGATCAATGCTATATATCATTCTTTACTAACAGCTTAAGACTGACAATATAGAAAGGGGGCCCTTATCTGTTACCATAGTATTAAACTACTGAATAACCCAGGTATTAAAAGTTTTCAAACATTTTTGTTACAATGCAAAATTATTATTTTTTTTTATTGTTTCTTGATTATTAATCTTATTTATTTGTGTTTATTAGGTACCATCAAACCAGTAGATGTTATGTACAGTATTTTGCCACAACATTTGCATGACAGATATTCCATGCATGTTAAAGATACAATATGTGAGAGACAAATTATGGTTCAAATATGTCCGATTACAGGAGAAACAATCATGGCATATCTTCCTATTACTGTGCATGCTGTCAAAGATTAAAATTTTAAATAATTAAGTAAAAATCTTCTATTTACATTAAGAGTACTTCTCGGGTGTGCATTTTTACAATAGTCGGCATCATTGTGATAGGACCCACTATGCATTACAACCACATTTGGTGACTAGTTGAACAATTATTGTCTTACTGAACTAAAAGAAAATAAGTCGCTGTCAAGAAATATTCTTAATATCCATTGACAACATATTATAATATATAAGAAATATGCAAATGTAATTGTTGGACTAAGTTACAACATAATACCTAAAGGAATATTTATTTGTAACTGTTCTTAAATATAATTTAATCACTTCATTAACACAATACCAATTTTAAAGTTTAAAAAATATATTTTTTAGTTATTAAGAAGTCATATACCTTCATTTGTTGTCCTGTCTTTCAAATGCATAGCATTTACAATTTACTTTCAGCATTTAGCAATTTTTTTTTGGTTTGTTGGGGGAGGTACAGCTAGTTGAAAGACATTTTGTAAGTGTGGCAAAGATTTAAAGCTAAAAATCCCGGGAGCTAGTAACACCGGCCGACACATACACTCACAGCATTCCTGCAGTTGAGTGTACGAACCGCTCCACACCAACCCACATTAACAGTTTTCCAGTTCTAAAGAAACTTATTTTTTATATTATATAATATTTTTATAATTATATGTAAAAATTATCATAACAAAATAAATAAATAATTTAAAAATACCAAAGTTATTTTTGTTGCATTTAAATTTATTTCATGGACAAATTATGTCCTGTTTAAGTATTAACAAACCTTTGTTCTTTTAAAAACTATCCCCAGTGTAGGGTGGGGAGGGGGAGAGAAAAGGGTCTTTAGTATCTACAAGTTCAAATTTAAGAAAAATAAGGGATAGGAAGTCGAATATTATTAGAGGGATTTACGGAGTAATTAACCGGACATTTTTTTTTATAATATTCGAGCGTGACAAGCGCGTACGTATAAAACATCGCGGAACAGGGCGAGGGAAACGGGTGAGGGGTACCGTATCGAAATTTAACACGCGTAGCATAGGCGGTCGAACGTTTTACGTGTTATTAGATAGGTACTCATCCATTTCAACGTACGACGGGCGTTTACGTAATTTCTTTTTATTATTTGTGCATGATAGTTATTTTATTAGTAATAATTTTTAAGTATTATTAATTTTGGTGACGGTAGTTACGTATTAATAATTTATAATTAATAATAGTATATACATGTAGAGTAAATACTATTGGTAATTGCTTACGAGGCTTGGATACTAGTAATTAATTAAAATAGAGTTAAAATAGTAATCTAAAATAAATTAATTTCAGAATAGGAACGAAAAAAAAATACGATTAGAAATCGAGCGGTACATAATAGGGACATATTTAATCTATTATTGTTGGAGATGGATAAATGTTGCACTATTATATACCGAACGGTTTGACAACTTAAGGAAAATGTTGGAGTTTGATCGTTTGGTGGTTGGTTCGAAAGTCGTGTGTATAGCGGATTTTTTAACGGAAACACCAATAGATCGAATGGCCAATAAATCTCAATAAGAAGTTACAAGGACAAGGTCTTGTTAATTTAGCCAGTGTCGTGGAAGGATGCTTTGATTTTCAGCACACTCTAACGTCACGGGTTCGATTAGCAAGATAAAAACACATACGAAAATAGAATAGAATAAAATCAATTTAGTACTTGTCTCGATCATGTAATGGAACTTAAATACAATAGTTAATTGCTGGTCTGGACCTGTAGTAAAAAGATATAATCAAATCACAGTATAGGAATAGTAATATTAACTAGATATAAAATATAATAATATAACGATTAATGGAAAATATATATATAGGAACAAACGTAAACGTAGAAAAAAAAATTATGAAAAAAAAATGAAAAAAAATGATGAAAAAAAAAGGGAAATTTAGGATTAAATTTTTATAGAATAATATACAAATACATAAAGGAACATATTAGCGCATTATATTGGACTTAATTAACATGGTGATGGGAAAAGAAATATATTAATCTAATTTATTTAAAATATAATTAACATGGTAATGGAAAAAAATATATAACACACCAGTACACCACTATTTTATCATATATATATATTGCACGAAAAAAATATATATTGTAATAGATTTTAAGAATTCATATTATATTAAAGGATTAATTTATATTATATTAACACTAAGATAAGATTATTGTTGTAAAACAAAATCATAAAAAAAAAAATATATTTTTAATCACATAAGATACTAACCTAGATAATAAGTAAAATATATATTGTAATATTGTGGATTGTAATCTGTAATTGTCAATAACATTTAATAAATATAACCAGAAAAGTATGGTGGAATGTACCATAAAATTCAATAATGTAACTAAATATCTGTAACAAACATATTATGTAAACATGTAATAATTGAATGTAATGAAATAATTTATATATGTAACTTGTAACCACATGAAAGTGCTTGAACTAATGGAGGGATGATTGAGTTAATTTTTCTCATTTTAGACGATAAAAATCAACTTTTAAAGGGGGAGATGTAGTAAGCCAGTTACTACGGAGTAATACCAATTTCATAAGTACATAGTTATTATTATAATATATGATGAATCAGGATTCAGAATTAGGCGTAGTAAGTAGTAACATTTGACAGTAACAATAAAACCAGATTCCACAGGTGCATAAATATTATAATATACGATGGACCGGCATAACCTGCAGGTAATAAAAAATAAGGGTTCGAAAATAAACATTGTAACATTTGACAGAAGCCAATACCAAAATCATAAATCACAAGAGTAAAGTCATTATAATATATAATAGGTCGGAATAACCGGGTATTAAGTACAATAGGGTCAAAATAAGCGGTTGTCATATTTGACAGGAAAACTGGACGCATACGATGAATTTAAAATATTAAAGAGTAAAATGACTAATCACAAGTTAGTAATACATTCAATCAGATAAATATTCAATCGTCAATGCGTGGGCTAGAATGATGACTATACGAGTGACATCCGTGAGAACGGAGATATCGCATATGTAGGCAAGGGGTACGGGGAACCTCATATATAAGGGAGCCCGAATCGGCCTGTATTCAGACGTGTACTACCATCCACTAGTGCAAGCGCCTTCACGCCACTTTGTATAACATTATTTTGTACTTAGAAAATTATCGAACGTTTTAATAAAATCTCACAATATTATATCATACTTCAACTGTCTTATTATTATTATCATCCACGACTACAACATCATCAAATAAAGTTTCTGCGACCTGCATCTATAATAACTTGGTAGCCACTTATCTACTGTCAGTACTACGATAGTAGGTACCAAGCACCAAGATTATTACACTGTACTTGATTTTCCGAGCGCACATTTTCCATGTTACGCACTTGTAAGACGGAGACAACAAAATGGCCTTGTGGCGTCCTCTCAATGACAAAGTTTACACGCCAA